CGGAGTCATCTGGCCGCGGAGCTCAGAAAAGCCGCTCAACTGTGCGGCCTCGGGGAGTGGCTAAAAAAAATCCCGGCTCGCCCAGATCCCCCCCGGCAGGGCCCACTGATCACAGGCGCACGCTGGCCCCCGCTCCCTGCTGGTGCTGCGCCTGCCTGCACGCAGCACCCCACCACGTCCTCCCCCTCTGGCTCACTCCCTCCCTTCCTTCAGGTGTCTGGATGGGCGATCCCACCCCTGACTCGCTTCCCAAATAGCCGCCCCGCCATTCTGCGCCCCGATGTCCTGCTTCCTCCCCCACCCCCACACACAGCGGTAATGGCCTCTCATCCGGACAGTAGGATCTCATTCCTGCAACATCAGTCCTAGCACACCAGAGACTTGCCCCCATTCTGTTCTCGCCTACACCGCCCAAGGCTTAGCGCAGACATAAGAGTGATGGCTGCTGGGGAGTACTACACAGCCGTGAACATGGACTGAGGCAAGACCCACATGGAGTAGAAAGGGCTGTGGCTCTCACTTCCACCACTCGGGAGCTGGGCCCAGGAAGGCGCATCTCTAGCAAGGTCTGTGTGAGTGCTGCCGGGCAGGGGTCCACACCTTGAGAAACCCCCGGCGTGGTCTCAGACCTCGCGCAAGAACCAGGTTTCGTGAGAGGCCGTTCTGGCCAAAAGCCGAGGAGCCCCGCGATGTGGAATCTGTTTTCGTGATTAATGCATTGGAAGAGAGGACCGGACAGGCTCAAACCCAAGGTGACAACAGGGGTGACCTCAGGGGCGGCTGGGCGCAGGGGGCAGGAGGGGCGGCCGGGTTGGTGGGAGAAGCGTTCAGGAAGGTGGAGGCCGCCTCCCCGCCGCTGGGGGTCCGCCTCCCCGCCGCTGGGGGTCCGCCTCCCCGCCGCCACGCCGGGCACGCGCACGGCCCCTCCTCTGCCGCGTGGGCCCTCAGGACTCCGGCCCTTTTGGGGTTTTGTGAGGTTCAGTTCCTTGGAGGCGCCCAATCAGTGCTGGCTTGTGTTATTGCAAGAGAGCCACGGGTCGGCTACATGGAAAATAGGACGTCTCCTTTCGCTTGTATAATTAGAAATAAGGGGGGAGGCTGGATGTGGGGTACCTTCTGCACGGCTGGTCTTAGCTCCTCCACTGCAGGGCAGGAGTTAGGGGACGGCCAGGAGGCCCCCCAAGGACTTCCCCAGCCTGCACCCCGCCATGAGCAAGTCTGGCCTCATTCCTGCCTGTGGCAAAAGGCTGTGGGTATGGTCCCTGCTCCCCTCAGGGCTCCTCCCTCTCAGGCAGGCTTCCCAAGGGGGTGGTGGGACCCCCCCCCCCAGCCCCGCAGCCCTTGCTTCTCTCCTCAAGTGCCCCTGGCTGGTGCCCTCTCAGCTCTGTTAGGAAGTCCCTCTGCGAGTCTAACTTAAGTCCTCCTTGCTGGAAGGCAACTTTTTCCTTCTTAGATGCAAACAGGACCTAGAGAGGCCCTGGCCCCCACGCCGGGGCTCCGCCCAAGGTCTTCAGCGGGCACCCCATCAATCGGATTGCAAAGTCAGCCCAGGCTGGCTTCGGTCCTGGCACCCCTGGGATGGTGGTGGGGGCAGCGGGGGTCAGAGGAGACCCCACCCCTCCTTAGAAGGACCCAGGAACCCCGACACTGGAGGGGTTTATATTTAGCGCGGCTCTGCTCCTCCCCCCGCCCCCTCCCGCCTGCCTCCGCCTCCTCCCCGAGGCTGGGGCGAGCATTGCTTGGAGACTGGGGGGCCGGGCCCCTCCGCCGCCGCCGCCGCCGCCG